CTCACGCTTGGTAATTAATAAATACTAGTATTGGAGGGAAACAGGTGTGACCGGCATGGGGAAAAGAAAACCACGTTCGCAATGATTATTGGATAACTACTGCCGATAATTACCTGTACATAACAGGTACACTTACCTGTATAAACTACTCACACAGTCCTCTGATGTAACATATACTGGACGTGGTGACAAGAAAACAATTCATTATTAATTATGTTTTATGAAATGTACTTAAAGCTTAATAAATGAATTATCACACTTATCACAGTTAAGTACTATATGCAGATACAATAAACAATAAATATAAAGCACTTTTTCTTTTAAATTTAACTAAATGCATGTAAATATTAACCTATAACATTTGTCACAATTTAATGACGAAAACTTGTTAAATAAAACTCACAATATGTATATAACTACACAAATGTATTGATTAGAGACAGAAATAATAAATATAAAAATTAAAAAAAACACTTTCGATTCGGAGCATTCATAACATGTAATGTAAATAAATAATTTAAAAAAAATTGTGATAATTATTTATTAAACATTGTAGTATATATAAATGAATAAATAAAATGGGCTCTTATGTAGAACTGCGTCCTCGCCATAGACCCTGATAGGGATTAGTTCTACAGGTAAGTCCGTACGAGTTACTTCCCTTTCAATGCATATAGTGCAAGAGTGTGCACATTTTTATCGACGTATTTCGGTACTTTGTTCTATTACGATCGAACTCAAATTTTGCACATAACTATTAACGAATTCCTGGGCGCGCGATCACCTACCTGGACACTCCCTGGACACTCATACCTCCCTCATAAGCATAACATAAATTATCTATCGACGTATTTCGATCAAACTGAAATTTCACATACAGCTAGATATGTAAATATTGATAATCAATCAGGAGAAAAAAAGTGAAATTAATCAAATAACGAATTCCTATGAGCGCGAAAACCTCCCCGGACACTCATTCCTTCCTGGACACTCATTCCTCCCCGGACACTCATTCCTTCCCGGACACTCATTCCGTCCTGGACACTCATTCCTCCCCGGACACTCATTCCTCCCTGGACACTCATTCCTCCCCGGACACTCATTCCTCCCCGGACACTCATTCCTTCCTGGACACTCATTCCTTCCTGGACACTCATTCCTCCCGGCCACTCATTCCTTCCTGGACACTCATTCCCCCCCCCTCCCCCCCGGACACTCATTCCTTCCTGGACACTCATTCCTTCCTGGACACTCATTCCTCCCCGGACACTCATTCCTCCCTCGTAAACATAATATGTATCGACGTATTCGTTTTCTACTGCTACGATCGATCTGAAACCTAGGTGAGTGCCTACTTTCTATGAATCAGAAGAAATAAAGTTAACAAATCGATTTACAAATTCCTGGGCATGCGGAAATCTCCCTGGACACCCATTCCTCCAAAATAGGCATCTTTATCGACGTATTTCGGTACTTTCTTCTGTTATGATCGACATTAAATTTTGCATACAGCTAGGGAAATGGATACAATGTATGAATCAGAAGGAAAAAAGTTAAAAAAAAAAAATAACGAATCCCTGAACGCGCGAAAACCTCCCTAGTCACTCCCTGGACACTCATTCCTCCCTGGACACTCATCAGGGTCAACCCTTTTTGTTTAGAAAAATCTCCAAGACCCTGGCAGTTGGCAGATAGAATCTTTAAACTTTCAACGACAGACGAAGCGCATGGCGTAGTGACTGACCTAGGTTTATAACACATATGAACACAAAAGGAAACACACTTACATTTAACAAACATACAAACAATGGCATGCTATATCAGGTCAGCAGATGACTCGAGAAACCTTCCATCCAACATGGTTGAGTTTCTAAGCGTCTTTATGATTCTGGGTTTTTTCGGTGCATTCGTGTAAAAAGTTTAACATTTAAATAACTGTATTGTTATAGCTTATGGTTAGTATCGCTTAGATTGTAAAATAAGTGTATCGTTAAGGAGGAATATTAATGTAAAAAATGTGTGATTAAAAGACAAAGACAGAGAATGACCATGTGGAACAGGTTGATTTTGTGATTCCTCAATATCTACCCCTATTTACCTCCCCTGAGAGTGTGCCAGGAACGATCCGTCCGGGCAGAGACTGACTCTTGGTAACCAGAGATGTCATTCCTAGCACTTTGGAGATTAAGGAACGACAATTCTGAGTAGAATATAATACACTTTGAAAACATTATTAACATATTCAATCATACATGTGAACTAATCGATTCCAATACGTTTTGAACAAATTACCCACATCATGATTATGATCAACTAAATATACATGAATATGTTACGTTGATATTTTCAACGGTTTTATTTTCATTTTCATAACAACTTCAATGTAATATCGTCTAGTCATATGATTCCGCGCGTTATATATTTCCGCGCAGCCATTTTATCAAGCTATATCACGTTACTACGTGACCTGCTGCACACTACACAATGATATTCTAGACGTTTGACCATCGTAACTGACACAAAAATTACCGGAAGTTCGGAGAGAAAACAAGAATTAATCACTGATTAAAAAAACACGCATAAATATGCAGTTTTGCTTAATTCACATATAAGCATCCTCAAAATGAAAAACAGTGATTTACTTCATTCATGAATTTTCACCAATTTTAAAGAGAATATAATGAGACAAAACTTACCATCAACCAAAACCGATATAAGACTGCACAAAAAATGATAACAGATTTTATATCATTATAACTAAATAAATTAAAAAAATGTTAAAATTACATGATTTCGTTCAAGCTGAATTTCGTTAAACACTAAATCAAAATAGACACACGGAAACACATGTCGGCTACTTCCGACGGGAGAAATTTGCTAAAAAAAAGTTTGTTCTGTTTTATTTTTAAGTACGGTTTTATTTTGTTAGTTTTTTTCCCTTAGTAGGTTGTGTACATGTCTATGACAGTCATACGTAATTTCAACAGTGTTCTACCGATATGAGTACGAAATCGCGGATGACATGAGGATACGCAGTGAGAAAACAACACAAAGCGAATATGTTGCAATGTTGTTTTTCGTTGGTTGGAGAAATGAACGATATTGTTAACTTAAAACTTTTCAATGGTTATATATCACACATTAACTTAAGAAATGTCAATTATATAGAATATATGTACTTGAACGCAAAAAGAAAATAGACAAATAGCTATGCATAAAATCCAATTATCGACATTCGCCTACTCGATCCGGATAGCCAGCCCTCTATGAAAAGGGGAGGTAGCTATACTTACCAGTGGTTTAATTCATTAGAAAATATTCCGATCATATCTTGATTCATTAAGTAATATTCAAAGTGCATTTGTTAATACTTTAAAGAATAGCACCCTTACATATGTATACAAACAAACTTAAAATAATTTACTTAACGGGCAAGCTATATAATGATTATTTTATAACGTGTTATCGTTGATTACTAACACATACTATTTATCGATGTTAAATTACATGTAATAATGTAATAATGGACGTTACTACACATGTACGATATTGTCAACATTTTCTGTTGTTTCACAAGAAAAAAGAAAATGTAATAAATTCTTATCAAGACATTTTTTCATGCTGTAATGAGACATGGTCATGTGCACATATGTATGTACATGTAAACATTTCGCCTTTGATGCATAATAAGTTCAGCATTGAATATAAACTGAACACTTGGATAAACATATTAGCGAAAGTGTATATAATTTTATGAATGGATAAATAATTCCGTAGAGGTGATCTAGTATACACATTTTTTAGTATTATTTTATAGTCAAAATGATCGTGACTTTTTTGTTATCAAGCATTGACAACAGACAATTTTTTTTTATAAATAGACGTTTCACGGTAAACGCATAAATATGATACATGTTAACATGGAAAGTTTTGAAACTGGGTTTCAAGATTTTTACTAAATACACAATCAAATTGCAATTCAGCTGACTAGATCACTAATCACCACCAAAATTATGAATGTTCTAAAGTCAATTTTGTGGTCCGATTGTCAACTTTGTCACAAAAGTTTTGTAAGTTTGGTGCTCGTGCAAAAAAGTTTGTCAATGGACGTCCCTGGGTGTATCCTATGAGTAGAATTGTCTTTCACCAACTCGACATACTCAGTTTACCGTTATCAGTCTATGACTGATGGATCCTGTCATCATCCTGTAATGACATAATTCCTGAGTCAAGTCGTCTTTTTATAACAATACGTGATCCTTTGAGTTAATACCGGTTTGCAACGCATTCGATTTTTTTTCTCCTGCACAAGAATTTAGCTATTACTGGTATGCTCTTTTGACTATCGAAGCGGGCTAATCGGTGCGTAATGTCAAAATCCCGGTTTGGATATTCATCTGTAATTTTGTCTGTAGTAGCTTTTTCACACGTATTTTCCACTTTTTCGTCCAGATCATTCTCAAGTCCGAATACACGTACGCTGGCTTTTCTGGTGTACTTTTCCAGCTCGTTCACTCCGTACTCGGCCTTCTCCGCAGCGTAGCCGACTTCAGCTATAGATTCCTTCATTTGGTTGATCTTCTTTTCTAGTGAGACTACCACCTTTTCAGATCATCGTTGGTGGTCTCCAAACCAAAACTCTACTCTCCATAATGTCAACTTTCTCATCGAGTTTACTCACCATTTCCGAAGTAGCCTTATCAAGATCTAACTTCGTAGCCATTTTGCTAAACTTCTCGTTTAAACTTTCTAAGGTCACCATCCCAGATAGCTTCTGATCAACACAACAAACTTTAGATTCGAGACTGGCTATTGCTTTCATCATTCTTTAACCACATTTCTTTAGTTGTATATTGTCCATTTTAAATGCTATGAGAGTAGGCTGACTTGTCCTCACTGGGTTTTTTTCACTATCTTCCTACCACATTTCTTAGCGGCATCAATGTCTTGGAAACTAATATCCAAACTTGACGTAGATATATTTTTTTCTTATGCCGGAGATGTTGATATCGTAATGTAACGATGTATTGATACAAGGTGAGCGATCCGAATAAGTATACATGTAGGTTATAAATAGACACATTGAGTACTGTTCTGTAGCAGAAAAAAAATGTCACAAAAAGTTTATTTTACTCACATTCAGGTGGGTCTCGGTTCATTGTTTCTTTACATATGGATTCATATCACCATGTTGATGAAGTGTGACAATTCTGTAGTTCAAAATTCCACACGAATATTAAAATGGAACATATTTGACGAGCGATTCAGACTACGTCCAACTCTCCGACTGAACACGTGACCTAATATTATTCAAAAGCAAAGTGGGTCAGATGTTGTTGGGTTTGTTTGTATATGTTGATGCGTTTTGTTTGGCAGATAAATTATATAGAATAACGTTTTGGCAATAACCGGATTAATGATAATACATGCACTAAACAATGTTTTTTTTATCTTTCAGATTCAGATCGGTAGGGGAGATCAAAACTGATGATATCGAAGAGCTCAAAGCTGATGTCCTGACGTGCATAAAAAAGAGACGTTTGATCAAAATTTTTGATATGACAGACACTTCAAATATGCCAAATGATATGAGTGAAGTGATACTGATGGCTCTGAAGGATGGTAGGCAAATACCTTACAAACATGATTCGTCATACATTTAACGTTTTATTGCGTGTTTATCACTTCTCAGAATTCGAACTGAAGTTAAGAAACCTCTTAAGGCGAACATTTCAATCACATATCTGTTCATTAGTTAAAATACATAAAGACTTAATGAACAGCGCATGACCTATTATCAGTTAAAAGGTTTAGGGATCTTTCATGTATGGCAGTTGACATATTTTTCTAGGAAGGTAGATCTATAAAGTGCTTTATGAAATATACAATAAAAAAAAAATTAATGGCCTCGATCCATAATAAATAGCCCACGTATTCCCGTAAGTAAAATAATTGCAATTATATCATTATGTAGATGTGATGTTATTTTACGTGATATTAATTTCTTATTTACTTTGACCTCACAAAGTAACATTATACAATTTAATGACAAATCGAACCCAACCGCTCCTATCGGCTCATATGTGGCAGGCAACTAGAGTATCCTGTGAAAACCCACGTTGTTGGGTATATATATTTCTCTTATTTCGTTGTGTGTAATATAAAGCTGTCTAGGTTAAGAACGGGATGTAAAACAATTCTATCTTACATCCTATTTCACGTAACGTGACGTCATAATGGCTCGACAATGACATGACGTCACGAATTTGGAAATCTCCTATGCCGCAATGCGGAAATGGCGACATGATGAAATCAAAACCTTTTCCGATATATTTACCGTATAAATTGGAATGATGTGATTATTTTTTCTGCACAAAATTCGTTAAATATGTGGTATGCTAATGCTGGCAGACAGATTTGTTTTCGCCAATAAAACTAAGGAGAAAATTGATATTTTCAAAATGATGGCCAGTATTATTCGTTTGTTATGTTGTTATATAATATAAAAGTTACCTTCACAACTTCCATTAATAACACTTATTTCTGTCATTTTATAATATTGAGAAACTGTGAAATCACTAGCTTACGAGGGGTTGTAACTTCGTCGATTTCGTAGGTCCCATTTATCCACGAAAACAGGTCCAGGAAGTAATTAAAGGTTTAATATAAAGCCATTCTCAGTACGACTGGGTACATTTGTCCTCTTTATCCAAGAATTCATGCAACCACGAAACGATGTTTTGTTTGGATACCAGGAAATTGGTCTCCACGAAAAACGAAAAGATCTGATTTTACAGTATTTAGCCAGTCCTGCCTTTAGATATCAAACAATAAGAGCTGAACCTGCACCTTGTTATTTATATATTGTATTACATGTTAACATCAACATTTAGGATTTTCGTTTTCAATCGTTATTTTCAATAGTGAAGAAAGAAAGCAAGCTGAGTCAGCTGAAGCTTGCATTATACTGGAACAAAATCGACACTGCCAGAGATATCATGCGAAACATAAGCGTAAGTTAAAACATTAGGTTTAAAAACTATCTTTGTGTCTGTTGTCTGATTTCAAAGACAAATAATTTTGTATGATTTGTAAAAACTTTCTGCGGTAAAGGGATACTCTCGAATCAGTTTTCAACGACCTTTCTGCCTCAAATCATAGTTGCAGGAATTTACGGAGAAATTGCAAAGACATGTATTAGGTATTAGCCTGATTCAGTCACATGACTTGGGAATAATCCCCGATGTCACATGACTGAATCACCAGATTAGTATGAAGCCCCCTTCTGACCTCAGTAAGGGCTTAAGAAGGCAACCAGGAGGTCGCCGAAAGCTACCCATGAATAGTATTTAGTTGAGTGACTTAGTTAAATGTTGGTTTAATACAGGTATTACTGTATTTTTGTTTATTAACTTTCTGGTATAATTTTACTTGTAGAGAGAATCTCAAAACTGTTTTCGATTATAACCATGTCTTTAATTACCATTGCAGAAAAAGAACGGAGTAATTTCAAAGACAGATACATGTATTACTTTATGATTGGTAAAAAGTTCTCTTATATTTTTACTCGTTGGGAGAGAAAATCTCAAAACACAGTTTCCGATGATAATCCTGCCTGATAATTCATTTGTATGAAATTGATTGGGCAATTTAAATGAAAGATATCTCTGTATGATTTGTAAAAACTGTCTGCTTGAATTTCTTCGCAGAGAGAGAATCTCAAAACCGTTTTCGATGACGAAGGGATTATAACATCTGCTCTGATGTTGGATAGATTTGCCTTCATGGACATCTTCCTCCTCAAAGGCAAGGACATGACAAGCTACTTGACGGAAGAAAGGCTCAAACAGTTGTATCTTCAGGTTGGTTATTAGAAATATTGAATGAATATTTTAAATTTGAATTTTGGCCATTTATCTTAATTTGTATCATAAGTTCATAAAGTGGAAAATCACTTAATTTTGCTGTGAACTTTATTTGACGAACGATGCTTATAGAATTTACATATTCAAAGTAATCATCGATGGAATTAATATTTCCGGAACATTTTATAACGCGATAGAGACATCACGCGAATTAGGAATGAACTCCTCTGATCAGCTAAACATCGATATTTGATGAAACGTTTTTCAGTTTTAGAGAAAAAGAAAAAAAAAAGTTAATTGCATAGTAGAAAATGCAAAAAAAAAATATATGTCAGTGTGATCTTTTTTGCGCTATGATCGGTCAAAGATACCAATTTAACATAATAAGTGTTTTTTTGGTTATTTTGTTAACTGCTTGCAGCACGAATTCATAGAGTATCGTCTAAGCGGGTATCAGAAATGTATGATTGATTGCAGAATTCATAGAAATAATATTTTCCTTTTAAACCATAAAACCAAAATTTCTTCAATATATTATTTTAACTAAGAAAAGCGATTAAGACTACATCGTATATTTTACTGACTAAATGCACATCTTTTTCAGTATTATTTTTGCACGCTTAATATAAATCGTTCTGAAATTATTTTTTTAATATGGAATTGATTATTAAGTGTAACGGATTTTTCTTTCCAAATTAACCACAGAAATTGAGGGTCTATGTGCTTCGTTTTCCCCCGTTCTTATTTGTGTTATTTTTCACTATTTCCGGGGTCGAAAATCAAAAGAGTCTCACTTAAAAACAAATACAATAATTAACAGTAAAAGTATCGTCACAGACACATTTCTGTTAAAAGAATATACCAATATTATATATGCAGTAAAACCTCGATATGATGTCTCTCGTTTCATTTGCATCATCGTTTACCGCGAACATATTTCACTTTCTCTTCTTCTTGTTTCCTGAAGAATTCCTGAAGACATTTCCCTCAATTTATCGTCAAACCCCTTTCTAACGCCAACATGTCTCTGGACAAATGGTGGAAGTAATACGAAGTATTAATGAATATTAGATGGAAATTGGCCTTATAGATTGTTATTCTTTTAAATTTTAACAGATACTATCAATTGCAAATGTCATGAAACGTAAGTGATGAATCGATCGTATTCAACTTAAAGAGGTTTGGATGTAAGTCTATAAATTTTAATTAGGTTTGTTTGTGTTTTACGTCCTATTCACGGCTAAGGTCATTTAAGGACGTGTCAGGTTTTGGTGGTGGTGGAAAGCCGGAGTTCCTAGAGAAAAACCACCGACCTACGGCCAGTACCTGGCGACTGCCCTACGTAGACCTCGAACCCGCTATCCAGTGGTAGAGGGCTTATGGTAGCAGAATGTCAGAGGCTTTAACCAATTGGCCACCACGACCCCTTACATACTTATTTATGTAATTGCATACTTTTATGTAATTGTATATATGTGTTCTCAATATCACTTTAAGTTAATCGAATATACTTTATCCACAGATTCCAAGTGACGGTGTCCTGGGAACCATTTTTTGGAAAACTTGCAAAAAAAACAATTTAGGAGAAAGTGTGAGTATGAGAAAGTGGGAACGCCTGCAATTATGAATCATGTTAATTATTTCTTCCAAACTTTATGTAAATCATTTGGCCCCGATAAGTCTTATCTTAAATGAACGCAAATATATTTATCTACAAAAAAGTGAATGATGAGAAATTTTATTATTCAAAACATTTTGTTTTATAACATTTGATTGCAAGCATTTTACATAATCTGCTGATAGGTGTACTAAAACCTCATTATACTGCCAAAGTTTGTACTTGAATGCATTGACGTTATTAAAGACGTCGATGTGGCGGTAAACATCTGAAGGATTTACTTAGAAAATGAAGCATGTAAGAAGCAAATGAAACGAGGGCTATCATGCTGAAATAGCGAATGATGAGAAATTTTATTAATCAAAACGTTTTTTGTTTTTTTTTACATTTGATTGCAAGCATTTTACATAATCCGCTGATAGGTGTACTAAAACCTTCCTATACTGCCAAAGTTTGTACTTGAATATATTGACGTTATTAAAAACGTCGATGTGGCGGTAAACGTCTGATATTTTAACCTTATAAAAGATTATGGCTATAGGTCGCGGGAAATTTGACTTGCATCGGTAACGGGATGTTGAAACACGCTTGGGGTTAGCACAATAGCAAATGAAAGGAAGCCTTCACATTGATAGTTAACGATATTACTTTTTCATTCTACTGACAGGCAAAACTGTTTGACCAGATCGGAAAAGTGATCACACATCTTGTCGGGAAAATTGATGACGTCGACCTTCCATACACAAAAACAGAAACCTTGAAATTAGAAAATCCATTTCTACACTTGTTTCTGTGGTGTATCTTGTCAAACAGCCAGGAGATGGCAAAGCTTTTTTGGAAATATGGAAAGGTAATTTTATACAATACTTTTTCCATCATCCGTTAATTTCAAGAAATATTTTTTATTCCAAAAGGTTAATGAAACTCATGTCAATACAACAATACAATGTACTATGAACGTAGGAAATGTATAGAAGTTAGTACACAATCCTCAATATTTCTTTTTCATTTTATGTATATTTATGACATCAGCAGTGCGTGTGTCTATATAGAAAGGCTCATTTAGTTGAGACAAGCTCACTTGAAAAGTTTAACTTGTCTGGTACCCAAAATCGCCTCATCATATAATTCAGTTAATGAAAATATTGACACCAAATAAAATATATTGTTTCATTTCAAGCAAAATTCTGGCATTTTCTTATCAATTTTAGTAATTTACTGATTAAAATATTCATTTGAACAAAACAATTCGGTGTTTGTGGTAGGATTTTGATGTTGTCGCACAGCACCCTTTTACCGGGATTTTTATTTATTTTTTATTATTATTATTGTACATTTGTACTGCAAAATAAAAAATGCTGCATCATACATTTGTTTATATGAAAAGTGTTCAATTTTGGGTACCGTTCCATTTCATGTATCCTAACGTTATGGTGTAGTATGTAGCAAATTGGTGTTCTTGTTTAAAGTAGAAGAACCTTACATTCAACAGTTAACTGTACTTTTAGTACTGTGTTCCGGAATATGTCAGAAGCCACCCACAGTGGTTTATGTTGCTTTTGTTTCCATGCATAGTGGGTCCTCGGAAAGTCCCATCGCAAAAGTATGACTCAAGGACTCAAATATCTGGCTCCTTAAATCATTGCACCAGGTTGGTGTATGTTTTGGTAGCCACGTCAGTGTTAATCATTCAGCGCCAGCCGACAAAAAGATGTAAACGTGTTTCCCCTTGGCACGTGAAAAGGTCGTGGTATGATAGAAATTGTATCCTTATGATAAACAAATCAGAGTTCGACAAAATTTGAAGTATGACATAGTTATGATTGTTCGTAATTGTAAACACACTTGAAATAAGCATAGGTTATGTTGTGAAAACAATAAAAACACTTATGACGTTTACGTTATTCAGAACCAGATCGCCGCTGCTCTAGTCGCTTACGGTCTGTTGAAGAAAATGGCGCTTATTATTGACAACAAGGACTTGGAAGCGTCATTGAACACAAATGCAGAGTAAGTCAGAAATAGTGTATAGTAATGCCTTCAATAGGCATTATTTTACGATTCTTTGAGTATTTGGAAGAAATATTGGTATATAACACATACATAGCCGTTTCAAGTTGCAAATGAAATCGATATTTCATTTTACACTTACACTGCGCGATATACACCAACATAGTTGGATCTTTAAAAATTCATCTGAGCACCAGAGGAGCTCGTACACAAGTCTTGTTAGAGTCTTAAATGTTGCGTTCAGAAATGGTTAAATATGTCGCTAACCATAGAAACCGTGAAAGACAAAACAAACCAAAATACTTGCGTTGACGATACAGCTGTAGTTCTAATTCTTTTCTATTCATATGTATATCTTTATATTATATATAAATGAATGTTCGTGTGTAGATGTTTTTTTTGCGCTAATTGACTCTATACAAAAGACGCGACGCAAATGTTTCCACACTGCGAACATTTCTATTTGTGCGGTATTCTCAAGGTCTTAGATGGTAATGTGTAGACGCTGTGCCTTTTTGTATTTGCTAAAACAAATAAGGAAAAATTAATATCTTCAAGGCCAATTTTATTTTAATTTTTTGACAGTGAATTTTGTCAGCTTGCAGAAACAATGTTGAGCAAGTGCAAAGAATCAAATAAACAGAAGACTATGGACATGCTGGAGATTAAAGTGGAGGACTTGGGTAATGCGACATGTCGGCAGATCGCACTGGTGACCGAAAACATGAGTTTTGTCGCACATCCTTTCTTCCAATCAGTCCTGAGTGAAGAGTGGATGGGCAAGTTGTTCCTTCAAAATCGATGGACATGGGTGAGGATGCCATACTTATATATTTGTTATAATCTACAGGGTATTCAGCTTTCTCAAGATCATGATCTCATTGCAAAATAAACTCTTTTTCGTGCGATGATAATATCGACGCTTTTGATTTTGTTTGATTTTGTTTTAAAATGTTCCTTGTAGTATTTTCTTGACATTGTTCTCTTTTTGAGGACGGTCAATTACTTTGATCAGACTTATATTTGCATTGTAGGTGTCGTTGAATACGCACTGGACTTAGTATCCTTGCATTTGTTTAAATTGGGTCTGTGTGTTTCCTGTCACATTCATATTTCATTTAGCGCTATGTTTAGATTAGGTAGAACATTGAAAACTTAAAATAAATTATCCTGATGTATTGATTTAGATTTTATAGGTATTCTATTGTGCAAAAACACATTCTTGAACTAATAAATGCTTGAAATGGTAAGAACTCTTGAGTTCCTGTAAGTCTGCAATATCAGCACGATAATTGAATCAATATAGACATGCAATTGAATGTACAAGTGCTCATGCTGGAAAAGTATAAGATTTATCTTCAAAGGTCTTTGTATAACGTTTATAAGTATCATAACGATTGTTGTGGAGTATTGTTAGCCTTATAAACAATGATCCGAAACATTCCCGAAACTATTTGTAGGTGTATTGTGCATTTTATATAAAACTAATCTGCCCCTTATTTTTATATTTGATACAGCTAAAAATAGCTCTGTGCGTTGTCCCACCAATGCATTTATTAATACCGTACATCATCAGATTCACAGAGGAGGGTGAAACGCAAAACGAGGTCAGTATAGTAAAATTATTTATCTGCCTTACGACCAAATAGTGTATTTAATTATGTAAATTATAAACAAAGACATACTCTATACATAATATATATATATATAAGTAAACAACATAATATATATAAGTTAAATGTGAAGGGCGCAAAATCATTTCATGGGCGAATGGCGAAAGTTTGACTGTGCGAAACAACCCCTTTAGACAGGATTTAAATAGTATATTGTGTAAGGTTTTGACTATTGGACTAACTGACTATTAGATTATTTTGTCTCACAACCACTTTTAATACGTAAAATATGTTGGCAACAGATTATTATTAAGCAACAGACAATACGTATACTTATCATTTGACCTTCGCTAATGAAATCGATTTCCGCATAGTGTTCATTTCGCACTGAAAGTCAAATTACTATGATTAATATAGTTTTTACTTATATTCAATGGCGCCTTCATTACGGGGGCGAAATGGCGAAAATTAAACTGCAGCTGTAGCTACAATTGTATGAAATTATTGTATATTCTCATATGATCTTTTTCATAATCTTCCTTCAACGGCAAGACATCCACCAGTACTAGCTGCTTAGGAAGGTAAATATATAAAGCTTATGTTGCAATGGACCAGATCTTTGTACTATATCACTAATACGCGTTATAGTATTAAATTACTGTTATACGGCTCACAAAACGTTATCCTGGTGTAAATATTTTAGAGAACAACCAGTAATAATATAATGCAATAATGGAGTTCCAGAATCCCGTTAGTCATTTTTAATTCACAAATTGGATTGTCAGTACAAGAAGTTTGATGTAAATAGGTTTCTTGAAAGAATATTTCGGTTTAAGTTTATAAATATTATTGTTTTAGATCAAACTACAACCCTTCTGGAATGTGCAACTGTAAAAAGATTACAAGCTTCTACAAGGCACCGGCAACGAAGTTCATAGGGAACTCTGTAAGTAGACTTCCTTTAGTTGTTCCTCACGTGTATAAAATGTAAAATGTATCATTTAATGATGGTACGTGCATATTCGAATATCGTGCAAAACATTCCTAGTGTAACAGAAGAGCATGCTATATGTCAATGTACCTGTGATATATACTAACTTTAAGCAACCAATGTTTGAGCTATGTGATACGATTTTGTTCTTTTTTTCCATCTTGAATAAACATCACTTTCGCCTAACATTGAGAAGTGTGTGTCCCGTTTTAATCGAAAATTATGAGCTTGTTAACCCGAAGGGGTATATAAAGTCTTGCAGAACAGCACTGGCTAAAATGTTACTTAACAAAATTTGAATAGCGATATCCATACGCAAGATGTGCCTAAAATAGTTGGTAGAAAAATAATCAATCCCTTCCTTATAGATATGTAGATCAGCTACTGATATTCATTGCCGCAATGTACATGAAAAGAAATGCATTCAATTCAAACATTTACGTTAGGTGTACTACAAAAAATAGTTACAACACTTTTTGTGAATTTATTATTTTTGATATTGGTATTGGACAGAAAACCATAAAAAAGGAACAGCCAGAACTCCAGCCTACACACAGACTTTAATTGTTTAACTTCCGGTCATCCGATCAGCTGATTTTGTTGAAACGAAAAAGATATATCTAGAATCTAATAATATCAAATACTTGATATACCTTTCATTTTTGAAGGTTTATCTTACATTTTGTATTTGGTGGGTTTACCAGTCACCATAGTAACCATCCAAGCCACCCGTCTGCAGTAGGCGAAGAGCTCATTTTAAGTAAAATGTACAGTCGGTGAAAATGCTGTTTGCTAAAAAAAAACCTTCAGATGTAAATGATGATAAATTGATGAATGAAGTGTCCTGTGCCATTACAAAGTCCACTGGGTTTAATGTGAAAGTTGATGTCACGGGGATTACCCATCCGGACGTTTGGGAGTTGACCTCGAATAATCGATTGCGAGTCGGAAGTCAGATTAAAATTAAATTAAATTAAATAAAAATCTAATAGTACAATGGTGCACGATTTATGATTTTTGTATTTTTTATTATTATTTCTCGCAACTACGTTATCTCGGAGGAGGGGAGATAACTCTTCTCAGAAACGGTACTAGGCGTAGTAATATACTTTGTCATTGTGTGTGAAATCAGATGGCCGGTTGCACGAGTTTTCAGTTGGTAGATTCAGATACAGAACAAAAATCAGGGATGTAAATATATGTGTATATTATCGACTTTTGTGTGTGTGACATGAAGGTCCTTTTTTTTGACTATGTTCATACTTGTGCCATTGCCATTAAATCGGTCTGCAGCAGCCTGAGAGACAACCTAAGTTGAACAGCTGCAGAATCATTAGCTGTTTCCTACCATGTATTTTGCCCAGGGGAACCCAAAATAGATCTTAGCTGCTTTGAGGACACAATGCCGTGAACGAAACAAACAACAAGGAATATCGTCATCTTTTTCTTCATTTTTGTCTCTAATTATCAAATTACTAAATATCAAAATTCAAACTGGCGGCATGTTTTTGAATCAAATGGGATAAAAACATGTTATTGACTTTTCAGATGATCTATGTAGCATTTCTGATGCTATTCGCCTTTACCCTTCTGTCCCGATTTGACAAAGAGGTAACTGTCTTTGAAGGCACATTGGCAGTATGTGTGGTCGTTCACTTCTTCGACGAAATAATCCAGGTGAGTCATTTCATCATATTCGGGCTAGTCCGAACTTAATAAACATTTAACCGTAAAATCATGGTTTTGGTTAAAACATGATAATGTTACAAGCAATAGGAAGAAAAGCGTATCCCATCAAATGGTGCTGTGTACCTTAAAAGTATATACTATTTATAAATTTCAATAGTTTGTTAGCTATAGATGCATAATGATTTACCATACTGATACTTTCCCGCAGTCAAATATTCGCTCTTAACTGATAACATCCATAATCTCGTCCTTCACATGCAATTACTTTGTAAGGTAAAATGTGTACTAATATTCGCTCTCATGAAAAATTCGCTCTTATTGCGAAGTACAAAAAACAAACATTAAACAACAACTAAAATTTCGCTTTATACAGTGGTTCATTGTTTACTGTTTTTAGATAATTCGCGTATAACCATGAATTTACCGTGCTAACAATAATACCAAGGTAAACTATATATATGTGTATCCATTGCATCTATCTTTACAGCTAAAGTCAACGGGTCCTGAAACATATTTTCGGAATAAATGGAACTATTTTGACATTTCCGGGATTATCCTGTACTTTTTTGGGTTTTACCTGTTCGTGCTGGAACCGAGATTAGTTCCTTTAGGATTTGGACGCATGGTCTGTTCCTTATCTTTTATAAGTCTGTGTCTAAGTCTTATTGGATTGTTTGCATTTGATGAGAAAATTGGACCACAGTTGCAGATGATTAAGAAAATGGTAAGAACGGTTATATATATATACCTCACCCTCCCTCTCCTTCTTACTTCTTCTTATTCCATTTTCTTCCTCTTCCAAAATACTCTTTTTCCCTCGTCCCTCGTTATCGTCTTTTTTATACCCCTTCAATAACGAAGACAGATGGAGACTACTGAAATATACCAGTGTGTTAAGGTTTGCACGGATAACTCCTCTTAAAGATATTGTATATATTTGCAGATTTCAACAAAACTTCTCATTGTAATTTGTAATCTTATATAGTTAAGAAGTTCACCTTATATCCTTTATAACGTTGCGATCCCTCTCCCCCAAGCAGTTTTTGCCCTTTTGTACCGTCAGTAATTCTCTGATTCTATCGAACTTAACCATGATACTTTCTGGAATGTATACAAGGTGAATATATTTTACGTTGAGTGGGCAAATTTCTTGGATTTCAAGACAGCCGTAACGAACTCTGCTTGGCTGCGACTTTAACAGTCTAAACTCAATTTCTTGAAGACACACTTTGTTGATACTCTATTGACGTGTTACATAGAGGTATAATTGCCAAGTTTAAATTTTCAGGATTTGAAATTGCCGCTTTGTCATATGATTTGTTAAGACATTTACGGTCATAACTTCGTTCACGGTCATAGCTTCGTTCACTAATGGTGGGGCTTTAGCTATAGCTTTGGGGGGCATTGGTAACATTACTTGCTGAGAACTATATGTAAATTGATTAGAACTGATAACATCTTCGACAGATTTTATTATTTTTTTACGCCGATAGTTCATCATCTAGTGTGTATTACAATGCAGTTCTCATTTTGAAATTGTTACGGAGGAACAGGGGATATTACTGAGCATTTGTTTTCAGTTCTACTTCTACATCCTATTGATTTATCGTCTTTTGTTTGTTGGTTTTTAGTTCTTTGACCTGCTTTCATTTTTGGCGATTCTGTCGGTTTGCGTGATAACGTATGCCATAGCAGCTTATGCCAACCTATACCCTGCCTCAAGGATTGATGATGATCTGGTTTTCAATCTACTCCGCATCCCGTATTGGAATCTGTATGGGGAACTGAATCTGAATATCCTTGAACGTAAGAAAAGCATTCTACCTAATATGACAATTTTGTGTATATCTATGTTATTCATAGTTTGTGTAATTTCTTGTAATGTATCAGAGTATTTTGTCAAATTTTCTTTTATTTAATGTTACAATTAAATTTAAAATTTAAATTAATTTCTGAAACATTCTGCGACATTAAAGTACAAATGTATTTCTTCATTATAATATCAAAACAATTGCTCATGAAGATTATGTTCTTTAAAGTAATAACAATCTTTTAAAGTGAAAGAGCCAGACTGTACATTCGACCGATTCCTCTACGAGAATGGTACCCTTCCGCGTTGTCCCACGGCGATCGGAACTTACTTAGTACCTTTACTAATGGGAATATATATGATGTTTGCAAGCATCTTACTGCTAAATCTGCTCATCGCAATGTTTAGGTAGGTATCTTTTTACCAATACTGTAAAACGTTGACGTATTTTTGCCAGTTGGCCGACTAATCGGAAGGCGGACATTTTCGCTTTTTTTTAAAGAATATCTCATTGCGTTTTAATATGTTCGCGTGTAATATTTTTCAGGGATAAAGTATAAATAACAAATATTATAAATAAAAAAGCGAATATTTTACTTTTGCAGTATTCAAAATAGCTGTTTTTTCAATTCGATAAGGTTCTTTCAAAAAAAGGAATGGAAAGACTGATTTGTTGTTGTCAATTGCGCTATAAAATTTGCATGTCACTTTTGCATCGTTACAAATGTTCAATAAAAACGCCTCACATATATGTTAAACAAATAACCAAGTCGTTATGTTACCCCTATGATTTAATACGTTTTCTTCGTTTCTTTTCAGTAACTCGTATGCAAAAGTACAAGCTGAAACACACCTGCACTGGTGCTATCAGCGATTCACACTCATCCACGAATGCTCTAGACGTCCTCCATTTGCTTTGCCGTTTAATCTGACGTCAAAACTGTTTAAAAAGATTTGCTGCTTCTGGCTCTGCAAGAAATGTCGAAGAAACAGGCAGGATGAGTATAAGGAAAACACCCGCACTTGTAAGTTGTATTACACCATTAATTTATTTACCTGTTTTTTTTTATCTATTTTTTTTATTTATTTGTATTTATGTCGTAGAAAAACAGAAAAAAAGAGTATACATGTTAAATAAATAAATATTATGATTATGTAAGTTACTGGCAAAATATTCTATTGCCTATATTGTTCTGAGCAAAATCATAAATGCTTATATCAGTTTAAATTCGATAGTGCGCTCATATTCGAATGCGCTAAAATTTTAAATGCTCTAAAATAAGAACATTGACAATAATGTTTCATTGATACCCTGTCGGAACATTAGCTTTTGCTTCCGTATCCTGTTTTATTTGTTTGATTTTGATTTCTGGTTGGCTTTCTTATGTGATTACGGGGATTTCTATTTCGCTTTCAACAAGGTATTTGCGTTGATTTTAACACACACAAGACAAGATAGCATAGTCCTAGATTAGTATACATGTGGATCAAATCCGCCCGATATTTCATGTTTTAAAAAGTTTTAAACTTTTGTTAGCTTTATAATATATACAGTACATCTAATATATATTTATATCGATTATATATCTTCAGATCCAGTGAATGACAAGAAATACAACTATCTGGTTTTGTGGGAGAAGGCGGTGGCAAATGAATACATGCATGGAATCCACAATTTGTCTTAATTGTCAAAGGGACATCAATACACCAGTTGTATACAAACAGACTTATTTAGCTATAACGTGTGACAATCACAATCATATTATTTCGTCATTGCGATAGCATTCTTTTCCTACAATCAATTATTTGTTTTACGTAAAAACTCATATTTTTTTTAAAAGAAGGTGATTTTTATTTCCAGAAAAAAAAATCAACTTCTTGAAACTTATCTATTCTTGTGTTGGTTTTATATAAAGATTTATCTGATTTGATTTTTTATCAAAAGAGCCTTCACTTCGATATAAAACCTATAATTTAAACTTATGCTGCTTTTACATTGTATATGTAAAGACCTATCAAATGTCTGTTTTTTATCAAAATGTTCTTAATTTCAAAACAAATTAGTTTCTTCAAACCTCTTCACACTTGGGTTGGTTTGATGTAAGGCTCTTAAAATTTCTCTTTTTTAAGCAAATTTACCTATATTTCGAAAATAGTGGGTTCCTTCAACATTCTTCATACATATCTAGGTGTTATGTAAAGACTTATCATATTCGGCTTTTCAAACAAAACGAGCCTTTATTTCTACAAAAAAATAAGTATCTTCAAAATTCTTCATATATATGGTAGTTTTAATAAAAACAACCATCAAATTGATATATTTTTTCAATAAAGTGGTCTTTGTTAAATGTTATGTATATATAATATATGCGGAAACACTTTCAAATATATTTATCAGAGCATTTGTAAATGTTGTCCTAATGTAGTTTCCAAAAATTCGTATTTTTTGCATCGTTTTACTTGGGAAAGAACATTTTCTTTCATGTAGTGCTTTAATAATAAAAATAATTTAAAATATGAGTTTAATCGATCATATTGTAGAAATTTCAGCGTAAAAATATAGGCCTTTTTATTCTTATTAAATGTTGTATACAAAAAAAGGTCCATAGTATGAGGAAGTGGTATTGTTTCAAATAATGTGCGAAAATTCAGTCCAAAAAAAAATGGTGGAAAGTATTCATTTTGCACAACATAGTACCCTTTGTACCTAAAACGTTGAGGGCCTAAGACACCTCCCTTGTGTCCAACAAAAAGCAATTCACCTGATTACAGGTAATTGGTAATGAAATTCTTAACAAGCCTACAATAAACCTTTCAGTACATTTTAGGTAGCAAAAGAATCCAAAGTCCACTTTGCTCCAACACTTGGCGTGATTGATAAAGTTATTGTTAATTGTCAAGATAAATATGTCTGTATTGGTAATATGAATAAGGTGTGTGTACGCGTTCAAAACCCTTTATTTAATATTTGTGTGCGCATCCAGAACTTTTGTATGTGTATGTTATATACAGTATATGTAGCGGCCGTACCGCATTAGTGGTGTGCTACCTTCGGAAAGGGAGTCAGGAGTTACCTCCCTTTACAGAACATTCAGTAGGAGATAGGAAAGGGATTCAGCTTGGGTCGGGAGATAGCGGGAAGATGGCGAAGAAGACGGTGAACATGGAGTGGGCTAAGTATAGCCATTACGTGTAACACGTCCAAGGAACTGTGCGTTATGTGTGATACGTATACCCGTTATTGACTGTATGTGTTTTACGTATACAATACGCGACGCGTTGGACCCCCGTGGATCGTTGTGACATTTGTAGGCGAGGTTGTAATTTGCGCCACACACACACGTCCTGTATTGTTATGTTTATGATGTACTAATTATGTTTTTGATTATATAAACTTGTTATTAATCAACGCCTCTGTGATTTCTCCACAAATTTAGCGAAAGCACTGCTACCAAAGAAAAGATCCAGAAAACAAATACATAATAATTCGTCACTTGACATTTAGAGATGAAATGTGATATCCTTGTCACTTTTTAGAATTTGTTCTAATACATTTGTTTTCATATCTTATTCATTTTATTATCAGACTTTTGTTATTAAATTGCTTTAAGGGAATATTTCTTAACTCATTTGTTAATGTCTGAGGGAAGGTCGCCTTCGTATCTTCGCGAAATCTCGTAAATGTAAAGATACAGGAAATATAAAATAAAATCCATAATAAAAAGGCTATGGGATATACTGACTTAAAGTGGTATAGGTTGCTCAAATGAAGAAGTTAGTATTTGTCGGAAGTGATGCATAAGGTATCTGTGCAAAAGAGAAACTCAAATAGAACGTTTTTCAGATGAAACTATTAAACGTTTTCCTGTCTTAACAATCAAGAACCTGTTTTACGGGTCTTGTTCACATAAAAAAAATGTTGTCTTTGTTTTAAGAATTTTAATTCGAAGGGAAGCAAATCCACACTCCTTCAAAAACGTGCCAGGCATCAATTCATTTTCACACACAAAGTGTGGTGTTCTGCGTCAACAGGTGTATGCTCATTTCATCTTATTGGCAATGACCTGAATCCTTGTACACAGGTTATCGTATATGGAAGAGAGTCTTTGAATTCTTATTTTTGAAGTAGGCCATCTTAAATAGTTGATGACCTTTTTGAAGTGTCGTACATATTAGCAAAGAATCAATCAGCCTTCACTCTCAATTTTTGTCTCTTGAATGACACTGACTGCAAAACTTGGACAGGTTGGTCAAAGAACAGTTTCTCAATATCAATTCGTACTTGTTCCCATTTCTTTTTTCTTCAGTATATACCAAAACTTCATAAAATGATCTTTTACTGTTTCGGTTAAGGCCTTTCTGAAATCTAATAGTAAAGCATGTCCACCTTCATACTACTTTCAGGGTTCACGTCTGAGTCAAATCTACCAAGCAAAACTGCGTATGTCATGTGGCTCCCTAAAAGAACACTTGTTTACGAAAAACATCATATCATCCTGAATTGTTCCTGCGCTGCCATTGAGAACTCAACACATTATTTGCTAAAATGTTATGAATAGACAGCACTTAGACATCTTCGAATTCTGAGTTTGCCGTATCAACTATCTACTAATCTTTTACTCTTTGGTGATGACTCTCTAACCCAACAAGAAAACACTACAATTTTTCTAGCCGTCCAAAATCATATACTCAAAACTGAAATAATAGTCCTTTTACAATTTAATTTTGACATATGTATATGTATGTTGTGTTGCATTCGTTTTACTACTATATTTTAAAATGTATTTGGACTTATATGCTTATTCAGTGATTTTGCTATTGCATTTCTTTAAACAATATTATGTCACTAACTGGCCATGATTATGATAGATGGATAAAGTGATGTGTTACCTTGAAAGGGCAGGTCGTGCCAGGGACGAGGTGGGAAAGTGTTTTATGGACTTATATTTGATAAGTGTGATGGCTAGTATGTGAACTGCAACGTTTTTAATAATCATGGCGGTGCTTTGGGACATACTAATTTTATCAATAGTTGATTTAGTGGTAATTTATACTATGTAACTTGTATATACATTTTAACCTTTATCGAGTGTCCATTTACAGCATTAACTGTTAAGATTATATAAAATACTGCAGATAATCACTACGATGTGGTTTCCACTGCATATCAATCCATTACCCCCTCCCCTATTCCCGTATTTGTTCTGTTGTACATATTACTTCATTCCTGTTGAAAAGTTGATTATTAAGCAGGTAACAAATTTACATAAGTGTCACGACACTTGTTTTTGTTTCCTTTTCTGTTCTATAAAACATGTACTTCGATGTATTGTCAAACAAAGTTTAAACCAAGCCTAAATGTTTGGATGGTTGATAGGACCGATACTACAAACACTGAAGCACTCGTGATAGTGTCTGGATATTACTTTTTATAATTTGATTTTGTCATATCTTTACATTTAATGCTATCATTGAAAAATAAAAAATCACATACTCTCTGCAGTTTTGTTTCATTTTATCAATTTGCTTTGCCTGCACACATATATCGGACAATTCTCTAAATGCCGGGGGTAACAGTCACAAAAGTGCTCTGCACCCTTGGAGTATGTGATGTCAAAGCCAATTGTTGGATGTGCGCTACCTTGTGGACGATCCAAAATGACTAGTTTGATCCTTTAATGTACATCGTAAGAATCGTGCGGTAGCATAACGTTAAAATTGACCGGCTTTGATGTCGGGTATTCCGTCTTTGCGTATTGCAGAGTTATCTTCTCTTTGGAGCAGGGATTGATTGTTACGTCACTTGTTTGTGAGAGTAACGTCATCAAATTTTGAGAAAACGACGTAATTTTCTCACACAAACCAATGACATAACAATCAATACCTGCTCCCAAGAGAGGATAACTCTGCAATACGCAAAGACGGAATTGCTCAACCGTAATATTCAAAGGACATGTATCTTCCTGTAGCGATAAGTAAGATGTTTTTACTTGAAACCAATCAGATACATGTAGCTAGCCACGTGTATTCACTTGTTTTCATGACATATTCAAATGGTGCAGGGAACAAAAGAAAGCATAACTGAATGAATGTCGATGTAGCTATCAGTATTTCCCATTCCTGGTACAACCTGTGTATCTTGACCCTATAATGGCGTAAATGTCTGCCCAACGTAAAAATCATATTTCCTCCAGTCCTGGTACAACCTGTGTATGTTGGCCCCAAATGGCGTAAATGTCTGCCCAACGTAAAAATCATATTTCCTCCAGTCCTGGTACAACCTGTGTATGTTGGCCCCAAATGGCGTAAATGTCTGCCCAACGTAAATATCATATTTCCTCCAGTCCTGGTACAACCTGTGTATCTTGGCCCTGTAATGGCGTAAATGTCTGTCCAACGTAAAAATCATATTTCCTCCGGTACTGGTACAACCTACGTATGTCGGCCCTATAATGGCGTAAATGTCTGTCCAACGTAAAAATGATATTTCCTCTAGTCATGGTACAACCTATGTATCTTGGCCATGTAATGGCGTAAATGTCTGTCCAACGTAAAAATCGTATTTCCTCCAGTACTGGTACAACCTGTGTATGTTGGCCCTATAATAGCGTAAATGTCTACCGGACGTGGAAAGCATATTCCCTCCAGTACTAGTACTGGTACAACCTGTGTATGTTGGCCCTGTAATGGCGTAATGTCTAGCCGACGTGGAAATCATATTTCCCCAGTTCTGGTACAACCTGTGTATGTTGGCCCTATAATAGCGTAAATGTCCCCCCAACGTAAAAATCATATTTCCTCCAGTCCTGGTACAACCTGTGTATCTTGGCCCT